TACAAAAACAGAAATTAATAGCAATTCTCTGTATAATAGGTTAAAAATGTTTAAAAAGTTAACCAACATCAAACTGTAAGGGCAAATCAAAACAAAAGAGGTTAATGTGGGGTAAGATAATCAAAATCTACCATATTAGATAAGGTGAATAGGATTTGTGGAGGAAGTTAGGTAAATTGCAACATAGCAACACATTTTTCCCATCCCTGTATGTATATCTTTTTGTAATGTGACCTTGTTCTACCACCAATCAATAGATAGCTTCTCCATCCCTGAAATGAGTTGGCCACATGACTTGCTTTGGCCCGCGTGGGATATTAGCAAACATGACCCAGAAACTTGAAAAGCACTTATGCACTGGGCTTGGCTTCCTTTGCAGGTTTTCAAAACCAGGTTCAGAAGAAGAAACCCTATTATGGTTTGGATCTGTAATCCACTTCACATACCCCACCCCACCCCACCCCCATGCCACAAAGGCCCACGTGTTGAAGGTGTGGTCCCCCCCAAAATAATGTTCAGAGGTAGGACTTTTGGGAAGTGATTGGGATCATGAGGACTCAAAGCTCATCAATGGATTAATCCACTGATAGATTCATAGCTAAATGGATACTGGGAAATGGTAGAAATTTTAGGAGGTAGGTCCTAGTTGAAAGGAGTAGGTCCCTGGGGGTATGCCTTGGGTACTTTATCTTGTCATCATCCTCCTCTTCCTCCTCCCTCCCTCCACCTTTCTTTTTGCTTCCTGGATGCTATGAGGTAAGCAGCTTTGCTTTGCCTCACCCTTCCACTATACTGCATTTACTGCCCAGAAACAATGGAGTCAACTGACAAAACACTGACACTTCTGAAACTGTGAGCCAAAATAAATCTTTCCTCCTTTAAGTTGTTTTTCTCAGGTATTTTTTCACAGCGACAGAAGGCTAACATACTAGCTGACTGCCTCACAAAAGTGAGCCCAGATAAGACAAAAGAACTATTCAGGTGAGCCCAGTTAAATTGCCAACCCATAAAATTGTTAAGTACTAAACAATCGTTGTTTTATACTCTAAATTTTGGGATAGTTTGTTTCAAAGTAAAAGTTAGCTAACTGATTCAGGAGGGAAGCAAAGGCATAGAAGAATAAATGAGCATAATATACAAGTGCATGGAAAGATGATCAGAATGTTCAAAATGGAAAAATAGTTCTTATTGGAAGAAAGAGTACATAGTCCTCAGGCTGGGATTGTGGCTCAGTATTTGTAGAACGCTTGTCTCGCATGCGTAGGGACTGGGTTTGATCCTCAGCACCACATAAGTAAATAAAATGAAAGTATTAAAAAAAAAAAAGAATACATAGTTAGGGCTGGGGTTGTGGCTCAGAGGCAGAGCGCTGACCTAGCATGCGTGAAACACTGGGTTTGTTCCTCAGCACCACATAAAAAAATAAAATAAAGATATTCATCCACCTATAACTAAAAAATAAATATTAAAAAAAATACATAGTCCTCGAAGGTAAACTGAATTTAGATAATAATCAGACTAAGAAGAGCATGAACTTCTTTCTGTTTCAGAGGGCAAGGGGATTATAGTTCAAGTAAAAGTTCAGTTAGAAGACTATTGCTACTATTTCAACAGACTGAAGTAATAAACTGATTAAATAACTACCATGGTTTTAAGTCTATGTATGTTTCTGCTCTTCAATAGAAAAATATAAGAAATTATTTTTATCCCATAATTTTAATCTCAATGAGTATAGACTTAGAATCATTAATATAAAAAGCTTATGATGTATCTAAAGGTAATGAAAATATACTTGAAGCTATATTGGGCACAAAATACATATATTTCTAGTGATAGTGTAAGTGAGAAATATGACTCCCTTTTGAGATCTAAATATACCTACCCCACTACTTGAGCTCCTGGCCACCAGAGAGTAATAGGAACCAAATTTAGCCTCCCATCTTAAACAACTAGAAAAAAAAAACTAGACAAAACACATAAAACAATGGATTTCAGACACTAGGTAATAGGCAGCACAGCACAAGGATCCATGACAGAAGGGAAATTAATGAAGTAAGCGATATGATTGCCCCAGGTCACTGCCATGAAAGTTTCTAAGGTATAACACAGGAATGGAAAACACAAACAGGACCCACATGTCTCAGTTATTTGAGAGAGTTAAGAGGTATGGGGAGGCCAAGGAAGCTAAAGTTTGCAAGAGAACTGCACAGATAGCAAGCTCTGGAGATCTATATATACCCAGTTCTCCATGAGACTTTAGAGGAGTACTTATAAATTCATCTTGTAAGGAAACAGTTAAGCTGGGTGTGTAGCTCAGTGGTACAGACATGTAAGGCCCTGAATTCAATCCCCAGCACCACAAAAAATTTTTAAAAAAAGACAAAGGAAGCAGTTAACGCCAAGGAAAGAACCACTGGAAAGGGCAGGTAGAATCATTCTTGATGCTGATATGATAATCAATAGTTTGTATACTCACTTGCCAGAGTGAAAAAGACCTTTAAATATCCAGGACCTTGAATGCACAAAACTATTTTCAAATAACTATATCCCAAAACAAATTCCAAAATATTTATTTTTAAAATCTAGCACATAACATTTTCTAGAGGTAGAAAGAATTCATCTGAGATGAAAAATACACTGGAAAAAATATACTGGACAGAATTAGCATTAGACTAGCCAGTGGAGAAGAAAAGATTATTAATTTGAAGATATACAAAATGAACACACAGAGAAAAAAAAAGAAAAACAAATGAAAAGAGAATTAGTAAGCTGTGGAATAACAGCAAGGGCTAACATATATGTAAAGAGTCCAGAAAGAGTGAAAAAAAGAGCTCACTTACCCTTTTATTTGGTAACCTGTTTATTATTTTATTATGTCATTTTTGTAACCACACTGTCTTTAAAAGTATATTTCCATTTGTAATAGATTATTTTACCTTCTGAATACATTTATTGGGCCCAAATAAATACATACTGGGGGTGGGGGCAGAAGAAATGACTAAATTTTTTTCAAACTTAATGAAAAACATAAAACTAAATGAGATGCAGGATGGCTATCTCATATATCTCAAGAGTCAAAATATTACACTTTCTAAATTATAAAAATTAACTAAATTGTTGTTTTTTTTAAAATAAAACATGATTAGGTATAAATACAAGTTTACAAAAACTGTATGCCAGCTAAGTTTTTAAAGCATCTATTATATAAGCAGCAAAAATAAGGTTCTAGTATAGGATAAACCCAGTGGCAGTTTGTCTTTGTTTTTACCTCATAGCAAGAAGCCCTCTCAAGAATTAGTAAGAACACCTGTAATCCCAACAGTGCAGGAGGCTAAGGCAGAAGGATCGCAGGTTCAAAGCTAGCCTCGGCAACTTAGCAACGCCCTAAGTAACTCAGTGAGACTCTGTCTCTAAATAAAATACAAAAAAGGGCCGGGGATGTGGCTCAGTGATTGAGTGCCCCTGGATTCACTCCCCAGTACCAAAAAAAAAAAAAAAAAAAAAAGGTAAGAAGACATAATAGCAAAAGAGAATGAAAATTCAGTCCCCACTCACACTGAAACTGTTCCTTCTAAACTTTCACAGGAAGCAAATTACACTTCTGGCAGCACAGAATCTCTCTGAGCCCAGTAAATAAATCCAAGAAAGTAACATATCTATTAAAAGTGAATAGAGGTGCTGGGGTGTGGCTCAGTGGTAGAGCACTTGCCTAGCATGTGTGAGGCTCTGGGTTTGATTCTCAGCACCACATAAAATAAATACAATAAAAGTCTGCCAACAACTAATAAAAATATTAAAAAAAAAAAAAAAGTGAAGAGAGCCAGACACAGTGGCACATGCATCCAAGTGGCTCAGAAGGCTGAAGTAGGAAGATCTCAAGTTCAAAGCCAGTCTCAGCTATTTAGCAAGGCCCTAAGCAACTCAGTGACACAATGTCTCAAAATACAAAATAAAAGGGGCTGAGGATGTGGCTCAGTGGTTAAGTACCCCTGGGTTCAATCCATGGTACCAAAAAAAAGTGAAGAGAGCCAGGCATGGTTGCACACTTTTGTAATCCCACTCATGAGGCTGAAGCACACAGTTTGAGGCAGCAATTTAGCGAGACCCCAGCAACTTAGCAAGATCTTATCTCAAAATAAAATTTAAAAGGGGAAAGGGTAGAGATGTAGCTCTGTAGCAAAGCATCTCTGGGTTCAATATCTAGGACAAAAAAAAAAAATGCGAAAAGGAACTTTACAAGTCAGTATGGTTACAGTTACTGACAACAGAATCAAAATGTAAACAACCTAGTTCTCCCTGGCTACAACACTAACAATACATAAACAAATTATTTTCTTATAGAAAGTACAGTGTAACTTACATGGCCAGATTGTAAGGAAAACACTAAATAAGAGCATTCTTTATTTTTATTTTTTTTAGTTGTAGTTGGACACAATCTTTATTTCTTTTTATGTGGTGCTGAGGATCGAACCCAGTGCCTCACGTGTGAGGCAAGCACTCCACCACTGAGCTACAGCCCCAGCCCACGAGCATTCTTTGAGTAAAATCTACTATAATCAAATTAACCAAGCAAAGCATAATGTCTATGATCCTCCCAGTAAGACAAAGAAAAATCATAGAACCTTCCCTGTAATGACCTTTTGAAATAAGATTTTAAGTACTTAAAATTAGCAAAACTGAGGCAAAAAGAAGTTAACTAATTTAAGGTCTTATGACATAATAGAGACATAAATCGATTAAAAACTCATCTGGATGCACAACTAACAGTTTATATTCATTTGTTTAATAAGCCTTTATCAATTTAAGAGGTAGTGGTTATATTAATCTCAATTTCTAGACCAAAAATTAGGTGCCAGTATACGGTAAGATAGGTTTTCTAATTTACAAATGTATTTTTTTAATTTATAGATATTTAGTTATTATATATTCAATATTCAATAATTATTCACTTAATTATAAGTTGCTGGACTCTTAACAACAAACACATTATAACTACTTACCTGGAACATCTCTTTCTCATAACTATATACACTCTGGCTATTGATAATATCTATTTCTAACTTCAGATGGTTCAAACAGACTCTGAAACAAAAAAGGAATCCTATTAAGTACTCAAGCAATTGAAGCCTGGGAGAACCCAAAGTAGAAATCCATATTAGAGGAAGAAGTAGACTCTTTAAAATTATTTAGTGCTCAGATATTTTGAAAAAAAAAATTCTTCTAAAGCTTTTTCTAGGATTATGTGAAAGTTTAATTTTTATTAATTTGTTTAAAAACCATTTATTTTTAATTATTAACTTATTATAGCTATAATATATTCACCAACCTCTGAATCAGTCTGACAGAGTATATAGAATCATCTCTGGCTGATAAAGTTCTTCCCTCAGTCCACCTCCCTGTCTCTTGGGTCTGTCTGTTACATGCTCACATCAACATTTTCCTTCATAATACTTGGAACACTTATGATTCCTTGTCACAAATTTCCACTTCCACTCTACTATAAACTTCAGCAGTGAAGAGACTTCTGTCTTGCTGACTGCTGAATCTCTAACCCTAGCAAAATTTCACGGTAGATTATTAGCAAGTATTTAGTGAATGGATGGATGCAGTTAATGTCAATAGTTCACTGTTCCAAAGGTCAGAGAGGCTGATTTAAGCTGGTAGCAGTAGAAATGGAAAAAAGAGGTTTTGTGTAGGTAGAACCAGGAGAAACAAGGAACCAAGATTTTTGAGCTTGGGTGACTGACTAATGATACATTTATTTATAGAACGAAGGAAGTTTAAAAGAGTGTTGACTTTTGTCTTAGACACATCAAATTTTTCAAGCGTTCCGGATGTCAAGCAGATGAAGTCTTAATCTAGTTTACTATGTTACTATGTAATTTAGCTTCCAGATTATTTTTTAAAATCAAATTTCACAAGAGACATGGCTCACGTTTTTCTCTTGGTATTTCATTTTTTCCTAGTTTCTTATCTTTGCCATAACATTCATTGAAAAGTGTTGATAAAGTTATTTTGAGATATTTTAGAAACTGAGGCACTTGATGGACCAGGAAGAGGGAAAAAAAACCAGAAATGTACAAGATTAATCCACAATATACAACACAAGTGAAAAACTAAAATGTCAGACAAATATTAACAAAATAGAGTATTTAGATGATCATATAGCTAGAACAAAAAGGGAACAATGCAATCTCATTTTTTTTAAAGGCAATTATTTAAAATGGCAGAAAAAAGACAAATATAAAAATATTCATGATAAAAAGCATTTGGGTGGGGCTGGAGTTGTAGCTCAGCAGTGAGCGCTTGTGTGAGGCACTGGGTTCTATTCTCAGCACCACATATAAATAAATAAAATAAAGGTCCATCAACAACCAAAAATTTTTTTTAAAAAAGCATTGAGTAAAAATAGACACAATGGCAAAAAAAATTCTAATTCAAACATTAAAAAAAATACTGATTTTTCAATGGCTCAGGAGGCTAAGGCAGAGGATTGAGAGTTTAAAGCCAGCTTCAGCAACTTAGCAAGACCCTAAGCAACTCAGTAAGACAGTGTCTCTAAATAAAATACAAAAAAAGGGTTGGGGATGTGGCTCAGTGGTTAAGTGCCCCGGGGTTGAATCCCCAGTACCAAAAGCAAAACAACAACAACAAAAATCACCTGATTCTTATTTGCAATAAAAACACAAATCCCCTGTTAAATAAATAATTGACTCTCAAAACATGGCCAGGTTCTATCTTGATAGCTTAACCAAAAAGAGCCAGGCAGCTACTTTCTATCTCTCATTCTTCAGGAGACATTAATTACACTCCAAATTCTTCTCAAAGAACAATTAATTTTTCACTTTGGGAGTTTTTACTCTGAAGTGAAAGCAAATTTCTATAACGATTTTTTAAAAAACAACTAGCAATATTCCAAAGCAATATGAGCATGGTGGCTGTGCCTATAATCCTAGCCACCTGGGAGGGTAAGGAAAGAGGATTACTTGAGTTCAGGAGTTCAAGACAAGCCTGGGCAACACAGTGAGACCCTGTCTCAAAACAAAACCCAAAAGCATCAAAGATCTTATATGCAAATGGAAAAAATCATGGTAAAAAAGTCCAAGATGTTCACAAAAATATATAAGCACTAGGTTCAATCAAGTATTGAAAGAAAAATAATAATCACAAAAGGAATAATTATGTTTAACTTAAAGTCATATAAATGAAAATGCACCAAGAGATCTGATTAAAAATTACCTTCTAGAAAGATGAAATTTTCTTGCAAAATAGAAATTCACATTATGTAAATAAAACAATTTAAAAGATCACCAAATTCTAACGAGGACAGAAACTGTTTTTAGTAGTTAATATATATTTTTCTTTTGCCCCAAAATTTAGCTCTAAAAAGACTCAACTTTTTCATATGAATTTAAAGTCTCTTTTATTAAATATAGAGTATGGTATCTAACTTAAAAGCACTGTGTATTATCAGTGTAAAATGATCTGTTCACCGAAACCTGAGGAGAAAAACTGTTACTACCATCACTACTGTTTACAACAAGCGTGGCTAAAAACAACAAAAAGGGAGTACGATAGCCTAAAATGTGTTTAATTAAAAAAAAAAAAAATATATATATATATATATATATATAAAGATATCCTGCAAGAATAGAAAATACACAAGATTGTAAATAGCATGGTCTCAAATTAAAAAGACTTTACCACGTATCTATAAATGAATTTTTCCCTATAGGCTCTATTAAAAAAAAAAAAAATGTCCGGGCACAGAGACACACATCCTGTAATCTCATTTACTTGGGAAGCTGAGGCACGAGGATAGGAAGTTGGAACCCAGGCCCGGCAATTTATAGAGATCGCAAAATAAAAAGGGTTGGGGAATGTAGCTCAGTGGTAGAACACACGTGGGTTCAATCCCTAATACTGACCAAAAAAAAAAAAAAAAGTGGTGAAGAAAGTACACCGTATTTCCCATTAATTCTCAAAGGTTATTTTTGTTTTGCTGTTAAGTCTAGACCCCACTAATTCATAGTGGTCATTAAACATTTTTCCCTATTACAAATTTTTTAAATATATATTTTTTAGTTGTAATTGGGCACAATACCTTTATTTTATTTATTTTTATGTGGTGCTGAGGCTCCAACCCAAGGCCTCGCAAGTGCTAAGCAAGTGCTCTACCACTAAGCCACAACCCCAGCCCCCCTTATTACAATTTTTTATGCTACAAATATTATCTCACAACAGTATCTGAGGATTAAAAATCTGAAAGTGTCTTAGGTGGGTCATTCTAACTCAGGGTGTCCTTGCAATCAAGATGTCATTTGTATATATTACTTTTTAAAAAAATATTTTTATTAGTTATTGATGGACCTTTATTTATTTATTTGTTTATATGTGGTGCTAAGAATCGAACCCAGGCCTCACACATGCTAGGCAAGCGCTCTACCACTAAGCCACAACCCCAGCCCTATATAGTACTTTTTAAAGCTGTAGAGCATATGAAGAATTGCCTGAATATAGGTAAAAGGAAAAAAAAAAAAGAATTGCCTACCCACCATGAAAGTGAAATTTAAATTACATGATCTAGCTAATTCATCTTTGAAAAATGAACAACTATTTTGAAAAAACAACAAACTATCACTATCACATTTTTAATGCATTTTTATGTGTAAAATGCCCTCAAAATTGTCTAAATTATACAAGTTTAGCTTGTAATATTACATTTGAAGATATTTGAAGCTCCACATAATTGAATTCAATTTATTAAAGCAAATGAATTCTAACTTCATAAAGCTTTCCTGAAGTACTTAAAAGAAAATCAAGACATAAATATCTGAAGTCATCCATAACACAAAAAAAGAATTCACTAAATTATGTCTGAACTGTAGTAGGAGAAAAATGAGCAAGATATATTATTCTTAGTTAGCTCCTTACCCATTTGTTTCAAGCTGACATTACAAATTAAATTAATGAAGCTATGGACTTTACGTGTCCAAAATTGAAAAAAAAAAAAAACACTTTCAAGTATTATCTTAAAGGAAAAAAATATTAGAAAAACTTTTATCTATAATCATGCTTCAAGCATCCCTTTTGGTGTCTTGAAAAAAATGTTTCATACAGGAAAACAGAAGCCTCTAAATTAAAGATTCCTTCCAATATGTTTCAATTCAAATATCATCCAAGGTATTCAATACTTGTTATTTGAAATTACAGAGTTAAGACAAATTCTCCAAGATTAGTCACATTGTTATATTTGTCACCATTATGGCTTCTTTAAAAATCCAAGAAGCAATACATAGCATTCAACTCCCTCAGTTCTTTAAAATTATTCCCCATTTCTCCTACCCCACCCCGCCCCCAACGTTATTCTATCCATTTAGTCAAAAGAAAAACAGCAGATACATCTATGTTGTCTATCCTGGCAAAGCCATGTTTATATACCAATGCAACTGTTATTAATGGCTCAGAACCAAACATTGTTAACAGAGTGGATCCACACTGTGTGTGTGTGTGTGTGTACACATGTCCCCATTCATAACATGACCCTCCTACACACACACACACACACAGAGAGAGAGAGACAGAGAGAGAGAGAGAGAGGTGTTTCTATTGAGTAACAAATCCTCTTCACATCAAAACACCCGGTATAATAAAACTGTCCTCTTTAACGTTCAAAGAACAATTCCTAAAACTAGGTTAGAGAAGAGTTAATATCAGGATTGCTGCCATCTATCAACTAATTCAAAGCAAAGTACAACTCAATGTCATTTTTAACTCTAATGAAGCCACAACTGAAACAAAATTAACTTCATTGTAAGATAAAGTATACGGGCATCAGTACAGATTATTTACTTCTCTAATTTGACGGTACATACATGTGTAATCTTTTGTCCCTCCCTCGGAATTTCAGGGTATCAACATCATCTTTATCAAATCAAATGATCAGCAAATCCCTCAGGTCATTACTTCAGCACCCTAAGTATCAGAAAGTCCTGGCCTTCCTTGTCGTTACAATATAGCAAAGAGAGTCTACAGTCCCATGCCCCCTTCCATTATAGTGGGGGAGGCAAGGTAGGAGAGAAACGCTTATATTTCCTAACAATCCTCTGTGTTCCGTCCTGGAACCTAAATAGGCGTGAGTACAAGTGATATGTGGGTCACCCTCAGAGAAACAAACGAAGCTTAATGACCCGCCAAGTTCAGTAAAAACACCCAAAGCCTCAGGGGAAACGCAGCAGCAACCCTAGAGGAAATGGGCCAGAACCAGAACGGTCTCCGAGGTGAAGAGGGACGGGAATGGCACAAGCCCAAGGCGTGGAGCGACCCAGAAGTCTCCGGTACTCCCCTCCAGGTCCCCAGGGTCCGTCACTCCGCGAGGGGTGCGGCCGAAGGAGGGCGTCCGGACAGGGGAAGGGCGGGACCCAGGACTAACTCGCGGCACCCTGGGGGTTCAGGGGGTGTGTCCTACCTGGGCCGTGACGGACGCAGGGATTTCGGGTTGAGGGCTCCGGTCCAGCTCAGACCCGGGACCGGCAGGGGCCAACCCTCAACAGGCGGGACCGCCGCCGCCTGCCCATCCCCCGCCGCCCACTGCGGCGGGACCCGAGCGCGGCTTCGCGGGCCGGCCGGCCAGCCGGGTAGTCCCCTAGGGTACCGTCCGCCTTTACTGGCGGCGGCGGCGGCGGCTGCTGATGTTGTTGCTGCTGGTGGCCGCCCCCAGCCGCTGCTCTTGTGCCAGCCTCTGCTCCTCCTCCTGCCGCCGCCGCCGCCGCCTCGTCCCCACCGCTCCCATCGCCGCTGCGGCGACTACTGCAGCGCCCGCTGACCCGACCCGACGTTATTCTCCCCCTTCGCAACCCGGCACAGCCTAGCCCACCTGCCCTGCCAGTGCGCACGCCCACCTCTCCACCACAGGCGCTGATTGGAGATCGTGTTGCGAGCCCACAGCGTCGGTTGGCTGGTCCCATTGCCTATCACGAAGGGGGCGGAGAGTAGGACAGAGAGCGTCTCCGCCCCCACCGGAGAATTGCCGCTATCTTCAGGTTTGCCTGAGAGGGCGAGTTACCGGGAAAGGAGCGTCACAATGGCATCGCGCATGCGCGTAGGAATTCTGGGCTTCGTAGTTCCAGCCATCGCCGCTACTGCCTGCCTGTCCTGAAAAGAGACGTAGGGCTTCTGAGACTAATAGTAGGCGCAAATGGGTGTTCTAGCTCAATAGTTAACTTGGTTACAGAGGCATGGTTGTAGGTCCAAGGTTGAGCTTTGAGGAAGAAAATCGGAAGTGCTTTGTCATGATACGAATATACACACTGAGGCAGTCCAGATGAAGGGAAGGGCTTGAAATCCTGAGGCCCTGTCAAAGATTGGGGGATTCATCACCTCCTCAGAACCAGAGCTGCCAGAATGTCGCGAATTGACGCTGTCCCCAGAACCACCTGATCTAAAGCGAGGGCCAGGGAAAGGAGTAAACGGATTTACAAAGGAATGTCAGGGAAAGGAGGAGGGAAGACGGATTTACAAAGCAATGTCAGGCTGGAGATGAGAGTCCTTGCGGTTTCACAGCCCACAAAGAACAAGATTCCGTTCTCGTCTTGAAACATCACAAGTTTAAAAACCCAATGAACAACCTCGGTGGGAACCAGTAAGAAATTTTAAGCTAGAGTATGCGGGAGTAGCTTAAAGACTTTCAAAAGAATAGTGAGGAAGGTGAAGCAATGAGGTTGTGTGGGGTAAATTTGTATTTAGTGTTGATTGTGTCTTCCTCTTTTAGTAAAAGAAAACCTTAAGATTAAGCCCCTCTCCTGTCTTTATCTACCGGTTTACAGAGGAGAAAGTTCAACTCAAGAGGTTAAAACTTTCTCAAGGCTATAAAACTAATTAGTGGTAGAACCAAAACAGGTCTGTTAAACCTCCCGTGTCCCGTGCTCTTTCTTCTTAATAATCAGAAATACTCCCAGGAATTGCCATAAACGGAAAGGATGCGATGAATTATAGGCTTCATTTAAATCTTTTTCTTCAATCAAGTGCATTATCATTGAAGCTGATTCAGAATATAGAAAAGTTAGGACTGGGGTTTTAGCTCTGTTGGTAGAGTGCTTGTCTAGCATGCACAAGGCCCTGTGTTCAATCTCCAGCACC